CCCCACGATCGAAGGCTTCCAAATGTCGGCTTTCAGTAGCCTTCTGATAGCCACCGTGATGAAAGTCGACATAGGTCCAAAGTGATACGAATGTAGCAAGTCGATATTCCAAGTTCCAAGAGACACACCCGGAATATGAAGAAATGGGCTGTCGTGCAAAACCCGACCCCTCTCGCCTCCAACATAAAACTGGCATCTAAACGGAGTCTGTTGGCTCTCGAATAACCCCACATCAGGTAGCGAGCGGCTTGGCTCCAAACGGCTTCCTCTCGGGAGGCCCAGTGCAGGGAAAGCCTTTGACAAAACCCGGCCACGTTGCGTGTGGCGATACAGCAGCAGATTGTACACAGCATGCTGCATCTCGGGGCTGGAGATTGTGACATCCTTCAAGGGCGGTCGTTGCTTCAATCTTGACTTAGTGGGTTTAGGGTTTAGGGGTTTAGGGTAGCAGTCTCATTTCGAAAATCTACAATAACAAAGTCTATTTAAATCATATCTGCAAGCACCCAGGTTTGCCCAATTAAGTAACCAATAAATCTATCACCCCAAGAGCCCAGGCGGAATCCTTGAAGTTGTCTCGGACATAAGCCCTGTAATCCTCGTCAGAGAAAGATTCATACGGGCATGTTCTCAGGGTCCAATTGGCCACCTCATCAAATTGCGATTTGTCACAGCGGCAGCACGGACAGCAGTGCTCGTTATGGCTCCATGTTCGTAGCCCACAGATTTCAACGAGAGCTGGCCAATCTGCTTTAAAATCAACGACGGCCAGGCGTAGATCTGAATGCTTTGCAGAAACATCCGCCCGAAAAGCTTCAAGCAGCGGCCAGGCAGAACACCATCCTCTGCAGCCACATTGGCATAAATCGGAGAGTCCTGGTTGCAATCGATTCGAATAATTATATAAAGCCGAAGCCTTGATAGATCGGTAGCTATAGGAACTACGAAGGAATATGCTCATTTGCAAGTAAGCCACGAAGAAGCCAAACTAGTCGTTGTTGTCGGGTTCGCAAGTTGGCAACATAAAACCCTAAGAAGTTCTCGTTTTTGGAATACTGGACTCCATCGAAATATACAGAGATTGGCTGAATCTGCTCATAAGTAAACCCCTCGTTCAGGGCTTCTTGTGTCACCGGGTGGTTTGCATACTTGTCGCCGAGCTCATGATCATTCGCGAGAAATTCATCAACAGTCTCTTTCGAAGGCTTCGAGGATCCAAGTAGATTCAAGCTACGGAGTTCTTCCCGAATCAGATCAGAGGCAACACGGGTGGGGTGTTGCACAGAAGTCCTCACTATGTTGTTCTTTGTGTGCATAGGAACTGCAACCCATTCCACATGAGGCTCCGGAAACTCTTTTCGAAGGTGGCACCTTAATTCTGGGATTGTGATACTGCATGAAGTTTGGGCTTCAGGAGGTTATTAGGCTTTGGGGTTTAGGGGTTAGGCGTTAGGGGTTGGGGTTTTAAGGTTTAGGATAGGGGTTGGGGTTTAGGTCCAGAAAGCCACACAGCCTAGAATGCCGATTAGGATTTGCAGTTTAAGGTTTTGGTATCCATAAGGGTTTCGAGCTAGGATTTGGAATGTTTGTGAATTTCTTTATTGGGGTTGCAGGAATTAGGAATAACTTATTGTGCAGCTTGAGGGGCCTCAAATGTTGGGACCCATGCGTCGAGGCTTGGTCTGGTGCCAGGGCAAAATCTTCAGCACCTCGGCCCCCACTTTGGGTATGATAATAAGCCAGAAGGCAAGTGTCGGCAGCAGTGAACGAACCATCGGTGTACTTCCCCAATAGAAATCGGCGAAACTCAGCAGCTGAAGCATGATCTCCTCTTTATCTTCTTCCCTGAGCCAATCATCCGAAAGCCCGTAGCCTCCAGCGTGTAGCTCGGCCCGGGCTCGCTTCAGAGACATCTCATTTCTGGAAGGATCACAAGGAGGTGAGGAATTGACAATTGGGTTGGGGTTAGGGGTTTGTGGTTTGGCAGCTGGCAACACTTAAAGTGCTTGCAATGACGATTGATGTTCGAATCTAAACTGCATTCGGGTCTTCAGCCTGACACAGCCTGCTCGGATCTATGTTCAGAAGGGAACCTACAGCCTGCAGCAGCTCACTACACAGCACTTGGATCCTGCAGCATAACATCCAACAGCTCTCACACTGATCTACACAAGGGATTGCGGCGAACAGAACGGACTGTCATGTTTCTTCCGACACCAGGAGCCCCAGTCGCATTTGAGGATTTCGCCGGCCTTTTGCCAAACTCCCCAGCTAGCCCCGATTATCGCGAGATAATGGATAACCCAGCAAGCAGCAGCTAAGCTCGACCGGAAACCATCCTGTCCAGGCCCTTAGGGTTTAGGGTTTAGGGTTTAGGGATATTAATTATAACTATAGCCCGACAACCACCGAGCCCCAAACTTCCGCGTGAGGAGAACACTTGGGTTTAGGGTTTAAGTCGTTTGGTTCTAGTATCAGGATCACAGGTTTATGTTGTAGATGTACGAAGTATAACAGAGGGGTGTGTAAAGTCAGGACCAGTTCGCTGCATATCGGAACAAATAACACAGCGGATAGAAAAAGTTCGGGGGATAAGGCCCGTGTAAAAACACTATAGGTTAAGGTATCGGGGACCCAAAGTATGTAAGGCATTCAACCCTGAACCCAAATCGTAAACCGTAAAACCTCAGCCCTAAAGCGAAGCCCCTAAAGCTTATGTCTTAAAACTAAGAGCTTAAACCTGAAAGCCTAAAACCCCAAACACTAAACCACCACAGCTTAGTTTAGGGTTTAGGGGTTTAGGGTTGGGGGGTTTAGGGTTTAGGGGTTTAGGGGTTTAGGCTAGGGTTTAGGGTTTGTCCCGGCCAAGCACCTGCTGCTTGCAACCCGTGAAACGAAAACATCTTTGCGAAGCCAAGCTATTAGACAGAGGGCAGCGACTTAGCCGAACCCGATCGCCGGAGCTTGCTCTTAGATTTGGCCTTAGCCTTGGGTTTCGGAGCCGAAGCAGCCTTCGTAGCCGCATCCTTAGCCGATGCCATCTCCTGCACCTGGAAGGCACACTGAGACATCTTCTCGATGGCCGGGCCCAGGACGGTCACAAACTCCACAAGCTTGCTGACATACGACTCGCCGAACTCCTTCTTGAGCTTCTGGGATTCCCTGGGGCTCAAGGCTGCAATCTTGAGGGATTGGAATTCAACGTTGGCGGCGTAGAGCTTCAAGACCTCTGTGCGGTGCTGCTTGTAAGTCCCGATGAGGTCGGTAGCCCAAGACCACCCATCAGCATTCTTGCTCATCTCGCCCATCACACGACTCATAGCCACATCCGAGCTCTGCTCCATAGCCAAGAACTCCTTGATTTCCTTCTCCTTTCTGGAAGCTGTCTGGTCCTTCTTCACCTTGCTCTTCCCAGATGAAGACTTATTGTCCTCTTCCTGTGCAGGAAGAAGACCATCTGTGGTTGCAGGCACCTCGGCTGCAGCCACTTTGGCTCGCTTGGCTTTTTGAACAGCAGCGTCCCCGGTGTCCTTGAAGGGCTGGTTGTTGGAGCCGTCACATTTCGGGAAACTTTTCAAGGCTTCCTGAGGCAGGCCGTCGTAGAGCTCAGCCCAGCCTTTCAGGCCCAAAGAGCTCGAAGCAACATCGTCCTCCGACACCTCCTGAAGCTGCTTCTTGTGGTGGTTTGCGTAGGCCCTCATAGCTTTGCAAGCCACAACCTTTGCGGCAAGGCTGTCGGAGATTGTGTCCGTAGATTCAACTGTAATAGTGTTGGTCCACTCTTGGGTGTTGGAGGAAGTCATCAAGACCTCGACCCAAAAGAAGGTCTCTGCACCCAGCCAGTCGTTATACTGGATGCAATACTCCTCGATAACCACAATACCCGTGAACCCGAAATCCTAAATCTATACCTTAAACCCTTATAAGCCCCCACCTTCGATCTAGCTAAAGCTTCGGGGTTTGGGGTGGGCTTTTAGGGGTTAGGGTTTAGGTGCGGCAGTTCGGCGAGGGTTTTTGGGATTTAGGGCACGGCGACTTCAGCTGATTATTGTAGGCCCTATGTATATGTATGTTAGTATTGTTCAGACTTTTGATCTAGTTAAGAAAACCCGGTCCTTCAAGGATGGCTGCCGGCACATAGCAATGTACCGGTCGCCCTGCTGCACGGCCTCCGGCTCCTGCGTGCCACCCAAGATGTTGATCAACTGGAGCCTCGTCACGAACTTGCCGGCCTCGTCCCGTCGTTTGCGGAAGCTTGTAGTCGTAGTACGACGATTGGTCATGAAGTCGAACTTTTTCGTCGCCATCCAGGCACGTCTGAAGTCTTGCTTCATGCTGTCGGTCAAGACCTGGTAAGCAGCGGCCATGTCGGGTCGCCATTTGAAGGCCCTCTTCATCTGCTGAGCACCAGCACCCCTAGCCGTGACATCCTGGTCTTTGGTCACCCAGTAGTAGAGACCCTCGGGAGACGAAGCCACCTGTTGGATCGTGGCATCATCCAAACCACGGGCAGCTGCGTAAAGGCTACGAGCCTTCTGCTGTGCAGCCTGAGGTAACTCATCGACTTCTGCTGCTGTCTGCGTGCCGGCACCCGCCTGCGTGGCATCGGGCTTCTCGGTGGTAATGGCACTGTCGGCATAAGGGGGCTTCTCGGTGGTAATGGCACTGTCGGCATCATCGGGCTTCTCGGTGGTAACGGCACTGTTGGCATCGGGCTTCTCGGTAGGGGCACTGTTGGCCTCGGGGATACAGGCACTGCCGGAGTCGAGGACAAGGGTTGCATCCACCTGCGTGGTTTGAGTGTCGGCCATGTTCTCGCTCGTATCTATGGATATAAGAGCAAACCAGCAGGCGGATCTGCCCTAAAGCAAGCTTCGCTACCTCGAGATCAGCAGAGAGTGCAATCCTGAGGGTTTACGGTTTAGGGTTTATAGGGATTAGGGTTTAGGGTTTAGGGTTTGGGGATTAGATAGAGGGTGTAGGGTTTAGACCAGACAGCAGTAAATTAACTGTATTCTTACTTTGCAAGCACTGAACATAAGCTCAAAATTGCTCATCAAGGGCTCATTGGGGGCTCATTGGGGGCTCATCGGGGTCATCATTGGGTCTCTCTTTCCGGAGATCATTCATCTAGCCTCTCTACTTAGCACCGGAGATCAGCGGCCACTGGCTGGTGGCTCATCGGGGGGCTCATCGGGTCTGTCACTGGGTGGCTTCTGGGACCGGAGCTCATTCTGCATTGCTGGCTATAGAGGACCGGACATCATTGGGCTATGGGCCTCTAGGCTCATTTACGTAGGTTTAGCTAATTTAGACCCAATTTAGCTAATTTAGATCCAATCTACCGAATTTAGATCCAATCTAGCTGATTTAGATCCAGTCTAGTTGATTTAGATCCAAATCTAGCTGATTTAGATCCAACCTATATGGCTGTTTAGATCCAACCTACAGACCTGATAAGACCCTATCTACTATATATTGATTTACCAGAAGCTGACTTAGAGCCAATCTTGCGGCCTGTACCCGCGTACTCCCCACTATTTCGCCCAGTCTTGCAAACAGCAGTGCGGTATTGCAGCCGTGACAGGACACTTGGCCAGGGATCCAACCGGCAGCAGATCTAGAACCCAAACCTCTAATAAATAAATATAGGTGTATATATATAGATATACATATGCATAGATACCTAAAGAGGGGTGAGGGATCAAAAAAAACTATTTAAGGGATCAAAAAAAAACTATTTCCCAAGGATCAAAAAAAAACTATTCACAGATCAAAAAAAAACTATTTGTTTCCTACGGCAGTGACAGTGCTGAAAAAGCATGGCAGGGCAGCGCAGCGCAGGGCAGGGCAGGGAGGGCAGGGCAGGGCAGGGCAGGGCAGGGGCAGGGCAGGGCAGGGCAGGGCAGGCCAGGGCAGGGCAGGGCAGGGCAGGGCAGGGGGCAGGGCAG